GGACCCCAACCAGACGTTTTGTTGGGGTGGTAGAGAGAAGCCCACCCCCCCACTAACAACAGTCTCTGTGCTGCTCCTGTCTCAGGTTTGACTACAGGGAGATGCTTCACAACTCCACCTTCTGCCTGGTGCCCCGAGGCCGCCGGCTGGGCTCCTTCCGCTTCCTGGAGGCTCTGCAGGTCAGTAGGCCGGAGCTCAGTCACAGGCACGTGCAGAACTTCATATGCTGTAACGGAAAAGTGGTACTTTCATGGTGCGGTATCATTACTTAAGGGACATTAACAGCGGTGAAGCTGAAGTTTGCGACGAGTCCCGCATACTTAACCATGATAATTTAGCCGTGCTGACATAGCCATGCTAACGTAGCCACACTGATGTAGCCATGCTAACGTAGATGTGCTAATGCGGCTCTGCTAACGAAGCTGGGCTAGCGTAGCTGCTAACATACATGACCATGTGCTCCTGTCCTCCACCTGCTCGCTATTTTAAAATAACACCATAGCTTTACATGACATGGTGCAGGTGACAGATCACATGCTTCCTGCATTTTCTCCTGTTTCTCTGCAGGCCGCCTGCATCCCTGTCGTGCTCAGTAACGGCTGGGAGCTGCCCTTCTCCGAGGTCATCGACTGGAGCAGCGGCGCCATCATCGGGGACGAGCGGCTGCTGCTGCAGGTACGAGCCGCGGCCTGCGACAGCCTGCCGGCGCAAAGAGGGGCGGCGTCTTTTAAGAAGAACTCGCTTTGAGGCACAAGCAAAGCAGCATTGATTCACACCCTCCAGCGCTGCTCGAATTCAGGAGGAAATTTGCAAAAAACCTGAAGAAGTCTATGTACTCATCACATTGTTATTACTGCAATATTAAAAAAATCAGTTGTAATCAATATTAATGTTTTAATGTACTGATATGTTTTAATATGTTAAGTTTCCTGGAGTATCAGCTTGTGAAAAAACATTTAAGGTGATGTATTTTTGCAAAAGACATTTCAGTATGTGGTAAATTGATCCTATCCATTTTGTGTTTTGAATGGAATTGTCAGATTCAAATCGAATCACTGCTGGTTAGAAATGTATGGAATCGTCACATATTTCTGATGTCACGTCGTAGGCCACATATCAAGATGCGTATCCCAAAGCCTCTCACACTGCGGCTGTTTGACTTCACTTTGGATTTGTAAATTAGAACCCCCACCCCCCCCCCGGGGGACTGCCAGTGAGTTGTTTTTTCAGCATGGAGAACAATAAGCAAAGTGTGCTGGCAGAAACCAAGCTGCGCTGCATTTGATGCATTTCTACATGCGGTTACAGATATGCATTATTCGGTTTGAGTTCTTTCAGATGTTGTTTTGTTGAAGGTACAGTTCCAGTTGGGTATCACTCCTTTATATGGGCCTGTGATTGAACGATTAGTGACATTGGGTTGGTCCAAACATGCACACAGCTGGACACGTCCTTCACACGTGTGGTTGGTTTGTCATCACTAATGACGTCTCACCGAGTTTTACTCACTCATGTCTCTCCTCTTCTTCCAGATCCCGTCCATCGTTCGATCTGTCCACCGGGACAAAATCCTGTCCCTGCGGCAGCAGACACAGTTCCTCTGGGAAGCGTACTTTTCATCTGTGGAGAAGATCGTGCTGACGACGCTGGAGGTAGGCAGGCCGTCTCTGTGCGAGACCACTGGCCGTTTCTCTACTCAAACTGTCGACACGACGCTATGAGAAGATAAAAGCTTTTATAGACAATACTGAGTAATAATTAGGGATGTAACGATACACTCAACTCACGATTCGATACGTTCACGATTCTGAGTTCACAATACAATTTTCTCATGATTTTTTAACAGAATGAGCTGCAGACAAATGTATTAAAAATATTTCTTTATCTTTCTAGACTGTGCAAAATGTGTCCTCTTCTTAACAATGCAACTGAAATTGAATAAAATACTGTTTAAAAAAATCCAAAATCAAAATAAGTAAATAAAAAAAAATCTTCAAGTAAATAAACTAAAGCTTGCATGTGCAGCTTTTTAGCGTGGTTTGCCCTTTTAATAGTCTTCGCTCTGGCGGTGGTGAATTGAGCTCACTGTGGTGCCGGCGGACATGCTGAAGCATGTTCGTCGTGGTATTGGTGTATGTTATCAGCATTTTACAATGTTTGCACGCAGTTTTTGTCTGGTCTGTGCTTTTCTCGCCATTTTCGTTTGTGATTACCGGAACGCTAAAATGCTGCAACACCGCCGATTTAACTTCGGGCAGCGTGTCCATCCGTCCATTTTCTGAAACAGCTTATTCCTAACTGGGGTCGCGGGGGGGGACCGGAACCCATCCCAGGAACAATCGGCGCAGGCTAGAACCAACCCGGGCAGGCGCCTACACACTACAGGGTGCACACACTCACAGGGCCAATTTATACTCACCAATGAACCATGGTAAGTATAAATGGGACCATGGGAGGAAACCAGAGCACCCGGCCAAAATGGGGAGAGCGTGCAAACTCCACACAGAAAGGACCCGGGACCGAACCCTCTTGCTATGAGGCAGCAGCGCTAACCACTGCGCCACTGCACCACTGCGCTGCCCAGGGGTGTGTCCTCAATTTCCAATTCGCTCGCCATCTCGCGTTCGGTCAAAACCAAAAACTGACGTGCGACGTAAATGTGCAGTGACATCTGACATCGAACTGCCGTCGTGAAATCAAATGTAATATCACATCAGTTTTCCAGTTAAAGTACTGTGAAGTACTCCTAAAGTAGCGATTCATTTTCCACATCAGCTGGTTCAAATCGTCATACATTTACATTGATTTTTAACCGAATCGTGATTCATCGTTACATGCCTAGTAATAATGAAAGATTGAGCTTGGTATAGCAAATAACTGCCGAAGGAATCAGGAGCGTAGTGAAAACAATCACCCACCGTACAGTGATGACCTCAGGCAATTAAGGGCAGGAACAGCGTCCATTTGCTTCGATGTCCCGGATCACGACACGCTTTACACAGGTTTTGGTCTGGTAGGAATCCCCCTGACCTAAATGGCCACTTCAACTGCTCTGCCCATTATTCATAATTAGTGGCCTTGTCAAGCCAAATTTCATCTGCCGTCCGAATTCCCTCTCGTATCGCTCGGCTGTTCGGACGAAGATGCAACGGCAATGATGTTTGTGTCAAGGCACCGTCTAAGTTTCCAGATATCCCGTACGTTTAAAGTTCACCCTTACTGCTGCAGCGAGAGTTCACATCAAAACACGTTCGCAAATGTTTTTGTAAAAAGTGTGTTGTTATTAATTATTATTAATAACTCATTTGCATTTAGCTCAATAGTACAACCCACATCTTTTATTAGATTATTATTGTATATATAGCTCGTTAGCGATGTTACACGGTGCCTTGACACTGCATCTTTGCAATTGCATCATCGTCCGAACATCTGAGCGATACGTCACAGGGGGAAGGAATTCGGATGGCGGAAGAAATTCGACATAACAGCCTCCCTGGTTTCTCTGTGGTTACCCCTGCTCTTGATGGCGCTTAATTGTGTCATTAATTTAATCTTCTGCGCCCAACAGAACGTCTTCTTTTAGCAGTGTGCTGTAAATCGTCGCTTTGAGGTGGTCTTTGATTATTTATTTGTGGGAAATAATGTTTTGAATCTGTAATTGAATTCTTAATTGTGTAGCTAATTACATTTTCCCTAGACAGATGTTGCTTTGTTGCCTTGCGTTTTGCATTTACGCGGGCGGCTGCTTGGAGCAGACCACCTCCATTGTGTGACTGTGTATCTCTCTGCAAAGCCCAACGCGCAAACCCTTGTTTGGATGGAGAATCAGAGAAGGCCTATCTGGATTGAAATGCCAAAAAGCAGCGCTTCATTCTTATCCTGGAAGAACATATTGAGTCAAATTGAGTGATGTCACCAGCAACGATTATGTATTTAGTTCTGTTGAAATTAGATTTAAATTTAAAAGCAGAGAAACTGCCAGGCCTGTTCCATCTCCCAAGATGGTTGGAATGCAGAGTGCTGGACCCTCATGCCATGTGGGTGTAATTAGTGTGTAGCCCTGGGGGCCCCATGACAGAGGGTCTGGGTTAGTCTCCTGAGATGGTCGGTGTGTAGCCCTGGGNAGTCTTTGAGGGGCAATGCCAAGTCAAGTCTCGAGTCTTTTGTGCCAAGTCCAAGTCAAGTCTCAAGTCTCAAATGACTGAAATGAACGTTCTCTCATCAATTGTTAGCTGTCTGTGTGAAGGCTTTATAACCAAATGCGATAACAAATGGCGCAGCTCCAGGTGAAGTTGTCGTCGCCATGGTTTGTGTTGATTTGAAATCTGTGGTTGCACGCATGCTTGTTCACAAGTTACAACACCCAAGTCCAAGTCAAGTCTCAAGTCATTGAGGGCAAGTCTAAAGTCAAGTCACAAGTCTTTGTTTGTGCGACTCGAATCCGAGTCTCAGACTCAAGTCCGCATCTCTGTAACATAGCGTCCCCCCAGGAATGGTGGTTGGGGTCCTGAGATCCACTGAGTACAGCTAGGCAGGTGGGCAGACGTTTTGTTGGGGTGGTAGAGAGAAGCCCACCCCCCCACTAACAACAGTCTCTGTGCTGCTCCTGTCTCAGGTTTGACTACAGGGAGATGCTTCACAACTCCACCTTCTGCCTGGTGCCCCGAGGCCGCCGGCTGGGCTCCTTCCGCTTCCTGGAGGCTCTGCAGGTCAGTAGGCCGGAGCTCAGTCACAGGCACGTGCAGAACTTCATATGCTGTAACGGAAAAGTGGTACTTTCATGGTGCGGTATCATTACTTAAGGGACATTAACAGCGGTGAAGCTGAAGTTTGCGACGAGTCCCGCATACTTAACCATGATAATTTAGCCGTGCTGACATAGCCATGCTAACGTAGCCACACTGATGTAGCCATGCTAACGTAGATGTGCTAATGCGGCTCTGCTAACGAAGCTGGGCTAGCGTAGCTGCTAACATACATGACCATGTGCTCCTGTCCTCCACCTGCTCGCTATTTTAAAATAACACCATAGCTTTACATGACATGGTGCAGGTGACAGATCACATGCTTCCTGCATTTTCTCCTGTTTCTCTGCAGGCCGCCTGCATCCCTGTCGTGCTCAGTAACGGCTGGGAGCTGCCCTTCTCCGAGGTCATCGACTGGAGCAGCGGCGCCATCATCGGGGACGAGCGGCTGCTGCTGCAGGTACGAGCCGCGGCCTGCGACAGCCTGCCGGCGCAAAGAGGGGCGGCGTCTTTTAAGAAGAACTCGCTTTGAGGCACAAGCAAAGCAGCATTGATTCACACCCTCCAGCGCTGCTCGAATTCAGGAGGAAATTTGCAAAAAACCTGAAGAAGTCTATGTACTCATCACATTGTTATTACTGCAATATTAAAAAAATCAGTTGTAATCAATATTAATGTTTTAATGTACTGATATGTTTTAATATGTTAAGTTTCCTGGAGTATCAGCTTGTGAAAAAACATTTAAGGTGATGTATTTTTGCAAAAGACATTTCAGTATGTGGTAAATTGATCCTATCCATTTTGTGTTTTGAATGGAATTGTCAGATTCAAATCGAATCACTGCTGGTTAGAAATGTATGGAATCGTCACATATTTCTGATGTCACGTCGTAGGCCACATATCAAGATGCGTATCCCAAAGCCTCTCACACTGCGGCTGTTTGACTTCACTTTGGATTTGTAAATTAGAACCCCCACCCCCCCCCCGGGGGACTGCCAGTGAGTTGTTTTTTCAGCATGGAGAACAATAAGCAAAGTGTGCTGGCAGAAACCAAGCTGCGCTGCATTTGATGCATTTCTACATGCGGTTACAGATATGCATTATTCGGTTTGAGTTCTTTCAGATGTTGTTTTGTTGAAGGTACAGTTCCAGTTGGGTATCACTCCTTTATATGGGCCTGTGATTGAACGATTAGTGACATTGGGTTGGTCCAAACATGCACACAGCTGGACACGTCCTTCACACGTGTGGTTGGTTTGTCATCACTAATGACGTCTCACCGAGTTTTACTCACTCATGTCTCTCCTCTTCTTCCAGATCCCGTCCATCGTTCGATCTGTCCACCGGGACAAAATCCTGTCCCTGCGGCAGCAGACACAGTTCCTCTGGGAAGCGTACTTTTCATCTGTGGAGAAGATCGTGCTGACGACGCTGGAGGTAGGCAGGCCGTCTCTGTGCGAGACCACTGGCCGTTTCTCTACTCAAACTGTCGACACGACGCTATGAGAAGATAAAAGCTTTTATAGACAATACTGAGTAATAATTAGGGATGTAACGATACACTCAACTCACGATTCGATACGTTCACGATTCTGAGTTCACAATACAATTTTCTCATGATTTTTTAACAGAATGAGCTGCAGACAAATGTATTAAAAATATTTCTTTATCTTTCTAGACTGTGCAAAATGTGTCCTCTTCTTAACAATGCAACTGAAATTGAATAAAATACTGTTTAAAAAAATCCAAAATCAAAATAAGTAAATAAAAAAAAATCTTCAAGTAAATAAACTAAAGCTTGCATGTGCAGCTTTTTAGCGTGGTTTGCCCTTTTAATAGTCTTCGCTCTGGCGGTGGTGAATTGAGCTCACTGTGGTGCCGGCGGACATGCTGAAGCATGTTCGTCGTGGTATTGGTGTATGTTATCAGCATTTTACAATGTTTGCACGCAGTTTTTGTCTGGTCTGTGCTTTTCTCGCCATTTTCGTTTGTGATTACCGGAACGCTAAAATGCTGCAACACCGCCGATTTAACTTCGGGCAGCGTGTCCATCCGTCCATTTTCTGAAACAGCTTATTCCTAACTGGGGTCGCGGGGGGGGACCGGAACCCATCCCAGGAACAATCGGCGCAGGCTAGAACCAACCCGGGCAGGCGCCTACACACTACAGGGTGCACACACTCACAGGGCCAATTTATACTCACCAATGAACCATGGTAAGTATAAATGGGACCATGGGAGGAAACCAGAGCACCCGGCCAAAATGGGGAGAGCGTGCAAACTCCACACAGAAAGGACCCGGGACCGAACCCTCTTGCTATGAGGCAGCAGCGCTAACCACTGCGCCACTGCACCACTGCGCTGCCCAGGGGTGTGTCCTCAATTTCCAATTCGCTCGCCATCTCGCGTTCGGTCAAAACCAAAAACTGACGTGCGACGTAAATGTGCAGTGACATCTGACATCGAACTGCCGTCGTGAAATCAAATGTAATATCACATCAGTTTTCCAGTTAAAGTACTGTGAAGTACTCCTAAAGTAGCGATTCATTTTCCACATCAGCTGGTTCAAATCGTCATACATTTACATTGATTTTTAACCGAATCGTGATTCATCGTTACATGCCTAGTAATAATGAAAGATTGAGCTTGGTATAGCAAATAACTGCCGAAGGAATCAGGAGCGTAGTGAAAACAATCACCCACCGTACAGTGATGACCTCAGGCAATTAAGGGCAGGAACAGCGTCCATTTGCTTCGATGTCCCGGATCACGACACGCTTTACACAGGTTTTGGTCTGGTAGGAATCCCCCTGACCTAAATGGCCACTTCAACTGCTCTGCCCATTATTCATAATTAGTGGCCTTGTCAAGCCAAATTTCATCTGCCGTCCGAATTCCCTCTCGTATCGCTCGGCTGTTCGGACGAAGATGCAACGGCAATGATGTTTGTGTCAAGGCACCGTCTAAGTTTCCAGATATCCCGTACGTTTAAAGTTCACCCTTACTGCTGCAGCGAGAGTTCACATCAAAACACGTTCGCAAATGTTTTTGTAAAAAGTGTGTTGTTATTAATTATTATTAATAACTCATTTGCATTTAGCTCAATAGTACAACCCACATCTTTTATTAGATTATTATTGTATATATAGCTCGTTAGCGATGTTACACGGTGCCTTGACACTGCATCTTTGCAATTGCATCATCGTCCGAACATCTGAGCGATACGTCACAGGGGGAAGGAATTCGGATGGCGGAAGAAATTCGACATAACAGCCTCCCTGGTTTCTCTGTGGTTACCCCTGCTCTTGATGGCGCTTAATTGTGTCATTAATTTAATCTTCTGCGCCCAACAGAACGTCTTCTTTTAGCAGTGTGCTGTAAATCGTCGCTTTGAGGTGGTCTTTGATTATTTATTTGTGGGAAATAATGTTTTGAATCTGTAATTGAATTCTTAATTGTGTAGCTAATTACATTTTCCCTAGACAGATGTTGCTTTGTTGCCTTGCGTTTTGCATTTACGCGGGCGGCTGCTTGGAGCAGACCACCTCCATTGTGTGACTGTGTATCTCTCTGCAAAGCCCAACGCGCAAACCCTTGTTTGGATGGAGAATCAGAGAAGGCCTATCTGGATTGAAATGCCAAAAAGCAGCGCTTCATTCTTATCCTGGAAGAACATATTGAGTCAAATTGAGTGATGTCACCAGCAACGATTATGTATTTAGTTCTGTTGAAATTAGATTTAAATTTAAAAGCAGAGAAACTGCCAGGCCTGTTCCATCTCCCAAGATGGTTGGAATGCAGAGTGCTGGACCCTCATGCCATGTGGGTGTAATTAGTGTGTAGCCCTGGGGGCCCCATGACAGAGGGTCTGGGTTAGTCTCCTGAGATGGTCGGTGTGTAGCCCTGGGGGCCCCATGACAGAGGGTCTGGGTTAGTCTCCTGAGATGGTCGGTGTGTAGCCCTGGGGGCCCCATGACAGAGGGTCTGGGTTAGTCTCCTGAGATGGTCGGTGTGTAGCCCTGGGCCC